GCAGTAGCGCCATCTCAGCTCACTGCAAGCTCCGCCTCCCGGGTTCACGCCATTCTCCCGCCTCTGCCTCCCCAGTAGCTGGGACTACAGGCGCCCGCCACCACACTCAGCTAATTTTTTGTATTTTTAGTAGGGACAGGTTTCACTGTGTTAGCCAGGATGGTCGATCTCCTGACATCGTGATCAGCCCGCCTTGGCCTCCCAAAGTGCTGGGATTACAGGCATGAGCCACTGCACCTGGCCTACAGAATTTTAATCAGAAATCATTAAAAATTCCATTTATGATTAATTTTTGGTTACAAATTTATGTTCCAGTAAATATATTCTCACAAAATTGTGATTCACTGCTGAGCTTTGAATCTTTTCTTCTGTAGTTTATTTCTTACCTTCAACTCTCAAGCCAGATAATTATGCTTATTCATAAAATCTATTATATTTCTATCCTTTTTTAAAAAACAATTATAGCCCATCTGGTTCATGCTTTCTCTTGAATTATTTGCTCTGAGGGAAGACAGCTGCCAAGTCATGAGGATACCAAACTTCTCTGTGGAAAGGACACAGGGCTTTCATGTCACTGATACATTTGTTGTCCATCTTCCTCTAAATTGATTCAAGTCCTTTTCTTTCTCATCTCTACTTTAATCTTTAGCATTTGCCATATGCCGGAACACCCTTTGTGCCCATGCCAGATCTCTGCCTCAGTTTATGCTTTTGAGGAGAAATAATTCATGACAATAGATTTGTCTGTAATTAAAAACAAAACTGAAAATTTCCTTTCTAGAGTACCTGCATTATAGGTTTTTAAAAAAGTATAAACCACAGAACATTTAAAATAAAATTTGGTAATAAAAATTGAATTTATAAGATATTCATGGCATGAATTAAAGTATTTATTAGTTAATAAATTATTTATTAGTATATATAAAGTTATGAATTAAATTATTTATTAGTATATATAAAGTTAAATATATTTAACCTTATATGTTAAAATATACATGTATAAAACTTAAGTTAAAATCTAAAATATCTATGATTTTTGAGGTCATTCTTTGATTTTTCTAAAAAAACAATTTCCTACCCAATATAGGGAACTACCTCAACACAATAAAGGGTATTTATGAAAAATCCACAGCTAGCATCATACTTAATGGTGAAAAATTGAAATTATTTCCTCTGAAGGTCAAGAACATGACAAGGATGCCCATTTTTGCCACTTCTATTCCATATGGTACTGAAAGTCCTACCCAGAGAAATTAGGCAAGACGAAAGAAAGGCATCAAATTGGAAAGGAAGAAGTTAAATTGCCCCTGTTTACAGATGAAATGATCTTACATATACAAAACCCTGAAGACCTCATCAAAAAACTGCTAGAATAAACAAATGCAGTAAAATTGCAGGTTACAAAATCAACACACAAAGTATCAATGGCATTTTTATACACTAACAGCAATCTATTTGAAAAAGAAATCAAGAAAACAATTCCATTTACAATAGCTACTAAAACAATAAAATACCTACGAATAAATTCAACCAAGAAGGGAAAAATCTCCATATTGCAAACTACCAAAACTTGATCAAAGAAATTTAAGAAGGCACAAATAATTGGAAAGATATCTTGTATTCATGAACTGAAGAAATTAATATTGTCAAAATGTTGATACTATTCAAAGTGATCTACAGATTCAATGCAATGCCTATCAAAATTCCAATGACATTTTTCACAGAAATGGAAAAGATGATCCTAAAATTTGTATGAAACCACAAATGACCCCAGTCAGACCAATCTTGAGAAAGAAAAACAAAGTTGGAGGCTTCACACTAGGTCTATTATGGCACAAAAGACCAAATGCCATTTGTTAACATACAGTGAATAAAGGAAAGGTAGAAGAAACACTTGATTTTTCCTTTTATTCATATTTTTTCTTTTAGAATGAGTTGATTCTACAGCATCTTCCAAAGGTGACCAAAGACTTTTTTTCTTTACTTAAAACCATTTTGAAGTCATGAATTTAAAAAATGTTTGATATGTTTCAATTTATTGCATATATTCTTTTTGATATGCAGATAGTCCCCACATGGGCCGGGGGAGCTACCTTAAGTTGGTCCATGAGCCATTTTGATGTGACCCCAGCAATCTTGATACCTTCTCTTTGCTTTTTGTGATGAAAAAGTATTTTCTAGGCTTATCTTGTACTGTCCTGTCCCAAATCTGTAATCAATAATTTTTCCAAAGAGTCCTAGTCTCTTTTAGGAGACCTTTTAGTTTCTTTTTTTTTCTTTTGAGACAGAGTCTTGCTTTGTTACCCAGGCTGGAGTACGGTGGCGCGATCTAGGCTCGCTGCGAGCTCCGCCTCCCGGGCTCATGCCATTCTCCTGCCTCAGCCTCCCCAGTAGCTGGGACTACAGGCACCCGCTACCATGCCCGGCCAATTTTTCGTATTTTTAGTAGAGACAGGGTTTCACGATGTTAGTCAGGATGGTCTCGATCTCCTGACCTCGTGATCCGCCCACCTTGGCCTCCCAAAGTGCTGGGATTACAGGCGTGAGCCACTGTGCCCAGCCTTTAGTTTCTTTTAAGACCTTTTAAGAATACTGGTCTTGTTTTCACTGTTTACTGAAAAGATTGAACTAGGGAATACACGTTTTTAAAGAGTAAAATACATCTTGAGTTCATAAACTCATATTTTCAATTCCAATTTAGAACTACAAGTTTATTCAATTTCTTTTGAGTTTCTTCTCTTTTATGATGAAAAATTTGGTTCTTAAAGACTTTTATAATAACTCAGCTGCCTTATCCTATAATTATAAGTTTCAGAACACCACCATGAATATTATTTCTAACAATATGACTACTAAAAACAGTTTATGATTTCTTGCATTTCCTTTAATCCTTAGGCTTTATCTCATACAGTCTAATTACTATGTTTAATATCACTTGAAATAATTCATCTATGTAGTTAAGCCATCAACTTCCTATATAATTAAGTTAATTTGTTTAATTTTACTTTTGATTTTTAGGTATTGCTTTTCAAATTTTGATTTAATTTGAAAAATAATTATATAAACATTTATATAGTTCCAAAATTAAGCTTATAAATCTACAAAACAAGGTTCATTCAAAGAAGTCTATCCTTCATTCTGTCCCCCTCTCTCCTCTCAGAGATTACTTTTGAATTATTTTTTGGCTCACCTCTTCATTTTTAAAAACACAAATGTGTGTATGTGTGTGTATGAGTGTGTGTGTACATATGTTGTTTATATACACATATGTGCACAAACCCACACACAGGCACACACACTCCTCACTCTTAATGAGAATACTATACCTACTGTTACGTTACCTTTTTTTAACCTTAATATACTTCAGATATTGCTCCATGTGCTAGGATTCTAACTGGGATTACACTGAATCTATAGGTATATTGGTGGGGGAGAATGAACATAATTATAATATTTAGCATTCTAATTAATAAACATGGTCTCTGCCTTTATTTAGACTTTAATTACTCTTAATATTATATATAGTTTTCAAACAAAAGTCTTACATATCGTTTGTTAGATTTGTTGCTAGGTATTTGATGTTTTTTGATGTAATTATAAATTACTTTTAAAGTTTTATTTTTGAAATGTTTGTTACTGGTATGTAGATTACAAATGGTTTTTCTATATTCACTTAATAGTTTGTCTATCAATTATTTTGGACTTTTTACATATTTAACCATGTTGTCTTCCTTTCCATTTTGTCAACCTTTTATTTCTTTTTCTTGCCTTAGTGCACTGATTAGGACTCCAGTACAAAGATCAATAGAAATGGTAATAGTGAACTTCTCTGACATCTTCTCAGTCTTCAAAATAATGTTATTGACATTATTTTTTGCCACTGAGAACAATGTTTGCTATAGAATAGATGGCTTTAGAAAATTACGGAAATTCTATTCCTAGTTTTTTTAAGGAATATTTTTTAAAAAATCAATAAATATCACCCATTATTGCTTATTCATTTTCTGAATTTTTATTTTTTATTTTTACTATTTTGTCTTTATTTCTATTTCTCTGGATACGCTTTCTCAGTCTCTCTCAGTGGAATAATTTCCCTAAACTTTACATTTTGAAACTCAGTCCTCACAGTTTCCATCTCTCTATCCTCTTTTTCAACATGTTCTCATTCCATGACTTTAAAAATCATGTGTATGTTAGTCATTCATAAGTTTATAGCTCTTATTGTAATCTCTCCCCTGAATATCAACTTATATACATAATTGACTAGTTGATATCTTGACTTAAATATCTTTTGGGCAGCTCATACTTAACAGCCCAAAGCAAACTTCCTGTGATTATCACCAACCCTTTATAACCGAGTTTAAGCCACCACTATTTTATACGCGGACTATCATAGTACTAGTTTCTTTCTTCCTTCTCTTACCCTTGCCTCTTTACAGTCTATTCTTTTTTTTAATAGACTTTATTTTTTAGAGTAGTTTTAGGTTTACTATAGTAAATCATACAGTGATACAGATCATACAGTGATCACAATCATCTGTTGAACATTTAAGTCTGATCACATCACTTTGCTAGAACCTCTCTGATCTCATTCCCATGTTGAAGCTCTTGAGCTTCCCATCTCATTCAGCACAAAAATCTCAAGTTTTTTCCGAGGAAGGGTCAGATAACTTTTTCTCAAGGGCCAGAGAACAAATTATTTCAGGTTTTGCAGGCGAAACAGATTTTGTTGCAACTATCTAAACTAATATATCCAACAAAAACTACTACATTTTATGAAACATGCATGAAATTTGTAAAAAATATAATATTTGCTTTGGTTTATGACATAATATTTTTACAGTAGTTTCATAAATATTTACTGAATAAAAAGATAAGGTTCAGAATTATACATTTTTTAAAAATTATACATTTTTTAAAAAAAGTATGGCAAGCACATTAAATTACAGGTTAAAGAATTTCTTCTGTAAAACATGTCAAACAACTAACAGTAGACTTACTTTAGATTATTGATTCTAATTTCAGCACTTTCAGTAAGTTTCTTCGTTTCTTCTTTCCACCTATTGGCTGCCTTCTGTTGAGTCTCTAGGAGATGCCTCAGTTCAACAATGGAATTTCTATTACTGTCTTCCATCTCTCTCAATTGAACTTCAAACCCACGTTCCTTTACTGAAAATTCATGTTCCATTGTACTGATCTAAAAAACAAAATGAAAACATATTTTCTTTTCTTATAGGTGCTATACTGCTCAATGATATATACAAAAGGAATCACTCATTGTATTGTCAGAGGGACAGAAATGTTTGGATGAGAAAACTATGTAAGAAATCAAGTTTGGTCAGATGCGGTGGCTCACGCCTGTAATCCCAGCACTTTGGAAGGCCAAGGCGGGCAGATCACGAGGTCAGGAGTTTTGAGACCAGCCTGAACAACATAGTGAAACCCCTTCTCTACTAAAAATACAAAAATTAGACAGGTGTGGAGTGTGTGCCTGTAATCCCAGCTACTCAGGAGGCTGAAGCAGGTGAATCGCTTGAACCCGGGAGGTGAGGGTTGCAGTGAGCTGAGATCGCACCACTGCACTCCATCTTCCTGGGTGACAGAGTGAGACTCTGTCTAAAAAAAAAAAAAAAAAAAAAAAAAAAATCAAGTTTACAATTGGTCTTCATCATAAATGAAAACTTACAATGTTATGTCAGTAAAACTAGAATTATGATTAACTATGTTTTTTGCAACACTTTCCCTAACACCTTAACATGCCAGTAAAAGAAAAGTCTACTATCTATTACAACGTAACACTTCTCTCTTTATTTACCCTGATTTTTGTTGCCAGAATCCAAGGAAAGTGTTGATGCTGTTGGTATCTGAGTTAGGTATTTACTCAAACCACTTTTGATTTACATACTAAACTTGAAATTCTTTCAAAGGGCTTTGTAAAGTCAAAGATAATTATATACAGGAATTTCTTTACCACTTCAGCTGTAGTATTAGTGAATGATTAATGAACGAATTATTTTTCAGGAGAAAGAGACAATATAAATAATGATTTTGAAAATCTCTTATGAAACTGTCTTCAGTACACTTCTAAGAATTTATGTCATTATAGTAAAAGCACTTTAATTGCAGAATGAACTTATAAGTAAATGCTCTTTGGATACCCTAGAAGCTTTCTCTACTGGGGTTCAGGGAGAGAATTAAGCCCTAATGCTTTAAGGCATCCAATGTATATAATGACTTGCCTTCTTTCATATGTGTCTAGAATATAACTACCTAAGTACCATGTTTGGGGAAATTGAGAAAAAAGTTACTGAAACATTTTTCTACATTTTGTGGTTCAGATGAAAAACACTTGTGGAAAAAGGCAGCAAGGTGATCTGACTTCCTTATTGTACTCTCAGGCCATCTATATTTTGCTATACTAAAGAAGTATTATAAAGAACAACTATCTTGTGATACTTTAATTGCTTTAAAAATGGCCACAGCTGGCTAGACTTCTAGTAATTCATTAAACACGGTTACTCTCAAACTCAAAAAAGAACGAGACTCAACTTTACCGTGTCAAAAAACACAAAACAAGGCCCAACAACAACAAAATTCTTGGCTCACTGAAGCAAACTGCAAACATCCTGTCCTTGCCACCCCTGCTAAATGCAACATGCTTCCTAAAACTCTACAGTTTGCTTTCTCAAATAGTACACATGCAGAAATTTAAGACTTTATAAATCCAGACACTGGAAAAACAATATTGGATGTGTTAGTTTTGGGTTGTATTACTGCTGTGCAAACCTACTGAGGCCCCTTGACCCCTGCTGCTATCTTAATAATGTTTGAATTATTAGATTCTGCAAATTTAGATTGCCTGCCCTTTCTCCTTGCCTGCCTTAATCTTCACCTCCTCTGGAGAAATCATGTTAGTCTAACATCTCAGGTGGAAAACAAAAAGTACAGCCCTTATGAGTGTCTGTCTCTCTCTCTCATGAACACGTGTTAAAAACTGATCTATGGGCCAGGCACAGTGGCTCATGTCTGTAATCCCAGCACTTTGGGAAGCTGAGGCAGGCAGATCACTGGAGGTCAGGAGTTCGAAACCAGCCTGGCTAACAGGGTGAATGAAACTCCATTTCTACTAAAAATACAAAAATTAGCCAGGTGAGGTGGCAGGTGCCTGTAATCCTAGCTACTCAGGAGGGTGAGGTAGAAGAATAGCTTGAACCTGGGAGGCGATGGTTGCAGTGAGCCAAGATCGGGCCATCGCACTCTAGACTGGGTGACAGAGCTTCTCAAACAAACAACAACAACAACAAAAACAAAAAACCATATACGCACACAAAACTGATCTATGCATCTGTACAGTTTTATAATTTGGCTGCCTAGTTAACTCCCACTCTCACTTGGAAAATCTGTTTATCATTTCACAAGCTTTGCTTTAAGATCCTTCATGATAACCTGTTCCCTGCTTACTTTTACAAGCTTGTGTTGTGCCACACTATTCCCTTCCCTTTATTTCCACTATAATGCCTTTTTATTCTTTGGTTCTTTTCACATGCTGTTTCTTTTGCCTGAAATAATCTCTTTCTGCTTACCTATTTCAACTTTTGGAACTCATTGAGTTTATAATTATATATTTAAAGTTTGCCCACCTACATGCAAATTATAAGCTTTTAAGGATGGGTACCATATCTGTTTAGTTTACTATTGCATATTTAGCACCTGGAACATAGTACGGTTGTCAAAACGTATTTGCAGATTGAATGGCGGCTTTTTGGTGTCAAAATTCAGTCTTTAACAAGCCCCATAGCCTTTAGTAGATACAATTCGAATTGCTAAGTAAATTGGACAGGTCTGTGGTAATGCTAACAGGCTAAGGGCCCCAACAACTATCTCCTATTACAAAAATTCTACTAATGATAAAATTCAGAAAGTTGGATGGGAAAAAGGGTTTTATGGTCTCTCTTCTTTCTTCCTTCTTCCTTCCTTTGCAGAGAAATATCCACACAAGTAGATTACTGAATTGCTGGAAACGACTCTATTTCTTAATTTTAGATGGTTATGAGGGGGGAATTTAGACCATAAAGAAATGGAGAGCCTTGGCAAAAGGAGTAGTTAGAAAAGGTGAAAGCTAGGGCTGAAATCAATGCAGTGCCATTAAGATCAAATGAAAACTTCAGATGATAAATTGTTAAGGTTCGTGGCCTACTGACCTCCCAATTTCTCACTGTCTTTATCTTTTTGGCTTCTTTCAGTTGATCTACTGAAGATCATACTCTTTTGCAATGGGGAGAAAAACAGCAAGGTGTAGGTGCACCAGGTTCCTATTTTGTCAAAGAAAGAATCAGTTACAAAGCAATTTATCTGAGAGCCTTCCTCCTCCCTAAAATAGAATTATAGCTAGTTAGTTAAGAGGTTCGGCTCTTTATCAATGGCTATTCTCTTAAGCTAGACACAGATTTGGTGAGATATGTGGGGTAGATAAACTTTCTATCACTCTTTTGTTCTCCATACCATCAGTTACTATCCTGAAATGTTAAAGAAAGATTGAGTGGTGTCCTAGATAGGAAAAATTCATTGATTCCATCCCCACTCATTATAAAAAAAAGAAAACAAATATATATTGTAAAATTATGGAAAATAACAAAGCATTGAAGTGAAATGTTAAAGACAGATCAAGTGGAGTACTAGATAGGGAAAATTCATTGATTGCATCCCCACTCATGATTAAAAAAAGAAAACAAAACAAATATATATTATAAAACTATGGAAGATATAAAGCATTAAAAAGACAAATATAAGGTGCCTCTATTCCCAAAACTCAATCACTTCTAAATTTTACATAATTGTTTTTATATATGAATTCTAAAATTGTTATTACAGTATGTAAAGGATTACTACCTGTATATGTGTGTGTGTGTGTGTGTGTGTGTGTGTATATATATATATATATGTTTTAATCATAGGGTGTATCAATATAAATGCATGATAAATTATTTGGAAATATAGTTTTTAATGACAATACAGTACCTTATTAAAAACATATACACTATATATCAAAAATATATATGTGTACACACACAGGTAGTAATCCTTTATACACTAAAGTAACAATTTTAAAATTCATAAATAAAAGCAATTATGTAGAAGTTAGAAGTATTATCTGAGTTTTGGGAGTAGAGGGACTTTATATTTGTCTTTTTAATGTTTTGTATTTTCCATATTTTACTATCTATAGATGTAACATAATTATTCACTTCTAGATATTTAGGTTGTTTCTAATTTAGTATAAATAATGCTGCAATGAACTTGTGAAATATTTTAATTATTTTCTTATGACTGAATTTTAGACTCTAAAGTAAATATGTACCATTTAATACTTTTAGCTGCATGTTCACTCAGAGATACTTAGCAATTAATTAATGGTGAGTTTAAACTGCTTATTGCCTACTGTTTTTTTTTCTTAGTTTGTAGATTCTGTTAATCTCTCACATGATTTTTTATTCGGTTACAAATATTTTTATCTTGTATTTTTAAAAGCTCCTGAGGTATGGTCTTAGAGCTTTCTGTCACATTTGTTAAAACTATCTACCTCCCAGTGATTTCTTTTTGGAACATTTAAAAATGGTTTTAAATATTTAACAACATATTTAAATTTATCAATATTTTCATTTGCAATTTCTTCCCTTTTTTTGCTTAGAAAGTTCTCTTTCAGTTAAATATTCATGTACATTTCCTGCTAATGTTTTATGGAATCATTAACATATTAACATAATGCATATGAAATTTATCATATACAGTTTATAATGAGATGAAGATACATTCTTTTCACCAAAGTACACTTTTTAAAAATCATAGAAATGTTTTAGTATGAAAACTTTTGAGCATACACAAAATAGAATGTTACACTTCCTGTATGCCCATCACCCAGCTTCCATAATTGTCCAACTATCAAACTCATAGGCACTCTGGTTTCATGTATACTCTTGCTATTCTTGCCTACTTTCCTCTGCGAAGATTTATCTGTTTCTTTCTTCTAATGAACTGTGTACGTCTTAAAAGATCAGCTCAGTTTTTACACATACACTGACATACCGAAGTCATCAAACAGATTTAGATACCCCAGGAGGTTCCCTCATGTGTCCTTCTAATCAGTACTTATCCATTTAAAAGGTAGCTATTCTGATAGTATCCTCATAGATAATTATGCTTATTCTTCACTACCATATAGTGAAATAAAATATAAGCTTTTGTATGTTTGGCTTCTTTGCTCATCTCCATGTCTATGAGACTCATCCACTATTGCTTATATAGTTCATTATTTTTCATTGTTGCTTCTATTCCATTATATGAATATATCACAATTTACTCATACAATTTCATGTTAATGAAATCATTGTTTTTAGCCTCTACGAATATTCTTGTCCACATGTTTTGATGAACGTAAGCACTCTGTTGGGTATGTAGCCAGGATTATTTGGCATAAGATGTATATTAGTCCATTTTCATACTGCTATGAAGAAATACCTGAGACTGGGTAATTTATAAAGAAAAAGAGGCTTACTGGACTCACAGTTCTCACAATCGTGGCAGAACGTGAAGGAGGAGCAAAGGGATGTCTTATATGGCAGCAGGCAAGAGGGCATTTGCAGGGGAACTGCTCTTTATAAAAGAACTGGGCACATTGGCTCTTGCCTGTAATCCTAGCACTTTGGGAGGCTGAAGCAGGTGGATAACCTGAGATCAGGAGTTTGAGACCAGCCTGGCCAACATGGTGAAACCCCAACTCTACTAAAAATACAAAATTAGCCAGTTGTGGTAGCACACAGCTATAGTCCTAGCTACTTGGGAGGCTGAGACAGGAGTCACTTGAACCTGGGAGGTGGATGCTGCAGTGAGCTGAGATCACGCCACTGCACTGTAGCCTGGGAAAGACAGAGCAAGACTCCATCTGAAAACAAACAAACAAAAACAAAACAAAACAAAAAAAAACACCAACAAAAACCCATCAGATCTTGCGAGACTTATTCACTATCATGATAAAAGCATGGGAAAACCTGCCCCCATGATTCTGGGTCCCCCCATGACACGTGGGGATTATGGAACTACAAGATGAGATTTGGGTAGGAAGACAGTCAAACTATATCAGGGTGTATGTATGTCCGGCTTTAAAAGATACTGCTACATTCCCAGCAGTATCTATCAAGGTTCTAGTTGCTTTATATTCTTACAAATATTTGATATTTTTAGTCTTTTTAATTTTAGCCATTCTGGTGATGGTGGTGTATACTGTTATCTTATAGTTTTAATTTAAATTCCCCTAAAAAATAGTGAGGTTGAACATATTTGCCTATATGCTATTTTATGAAGTGCCTACTTACGTCTTTTGCCCTTTTCTGGAAATGGAATATCTATTTTTTCCTTATTAACTATTAGCTGTTTTTTCCGTATTAATATTTTTCTTATTAATTGGTAAGAGTTTTTATATTTTGGATATGAGCTCTCTTTTTGGTTATATGCACTACAAATACTTTCTTGTACTTTCCCCTTTCTTAATGGTGTCTTTTGGTGACTAAAAATATCTTAATTTTAGTGAAATCCAATTCAGCTTGGATTTTTCACTATGATTAGTGTTTTTTGTGCTCTGTTTAAGAAATATTTTCCAACCCAAAGGCATGAAGATTTTCTCCTAGAAACTATCATTTCACATTTTACATTTAGGTCTACGAGGCAGCTCCAACTAATTTGCATATATGCTGTGATATAGGAGTTAAGTTTTATTTTTAAAATGTGGATCTGACTGATCTAGCACCATTTGTGAAGCCAGTTTCCCCCTCACTGAACTGCAATGGTGCCTTTGTTATAAATCAAGTGATTATGATAAATGAGTTTGTTTCTAGACCCAATTTTTTGCCATTGATCAAGTTGATTATTCTTATATTGATAACACATTGTCTAAATTATTTTAGCTTTTTATCAAGTCTTGATATCTGGTGGTATGGTTCCTCTCCCTGTTCTTCAAAGAACTCCCACAGTCTAAAGCTCAAAGTAAAAACTTTTCTGTAAATAAGACTCTCTTTTTCATTTCAGAGTTCAAGGTTTTACAAATAACTAGGGTATTTCATACCTGCAATAGGAGGCATTCAAAAAATATATATTGACATGAATTAGGTTGGAATATGACTTCTTAGGAGTTCTTCCAGCAATAAAAACCAAAATAAAACAATGACATGACCTCTTCATATTCTTACTATGAAATTGGAAGATGTAGATATTTATCATAAAAAGTCAGTGCCACTTTTTATAAAAGTCTCATGACATGGGGAAAGGTAAGCAAGATGTTGATGAAGATATTTGTGTTTCTTGAAAGTCCCTTAAAAGGAGGATCATCTTCCTATTACTAAACCATATAAGCATCGAAGGACAAGGAAATAAGAGAGAAAAGAAAGGGAATTTGTTTTAGATGACATTTTTGCCTCTTGCCTTCTTCCTGCCACAGAATTTTCAGACTAGCTGTGAATGGTTCTCAGAGCCTGCTGCTGTAACATCCCCTATACAGTTAGTTTTAGAGAAGTTCAACTTTTCAAAGGCTACTATATGGAGAGAAGAGAGGAAGGCAGTCTGTAAAGTTACCTAATCTATGGTTTTGCTAGTGGTGCTTAAATTGCTTTGGCAGGAGTAACAGTGTATTTCATGGTTAGAAAAGAATTTTTTTGTGTGTAGCAAAGGCAATCATTTTCAAGTATGCCTGCCAAGTTCTACAACACAGAAATGATTGGTTAACACTCTGAATTATGACTTAGTGTTATTTGATGAGAAGGCACACACAAAAAAAGGGGGGGGGCCTTAAAGATATTTTGCTAGGTATCTCTAAATATTCTCCATACTTTGATTTTCATAAGTACACATTTAACTCTAGTCTTGAAAATACCTTTAATTTGGCTTTTTTTTGAGCCTCCAGGGCAATCTTCCTTAAACTCTCAGTCTCCTTCCGTAACTGTTTATTTTCTTGCTGAAGTTTTAGCCTTTGTTCACTGACAAGCCCACAGTTCTCTCTCTCAGACTCCAACACATTTTGAATTTTCTGAATCATTTCTTGGTAACGTGATATTTCTTCTGAGGAGCTGATTAAAAAATGAAATGAAAAGAATCCTTAAACTTAATAATCTATAGTAGAAGACAAAAGTCTGTCTACATTTTATCACATGGACTTTTGTTTGCTTTATTCTGAGCCATTTCTTTCCACTTTAGACTGAAACTATGTGGTTTCAAAATGTTATGTTATACCAGGCAAATACATTCAACTTAAATATATTCAAATCTTAACTAAGAACAGATGAACTGAACTGTTATCACTTATCTAGAAAATCAATGTGAGACTTCTTTCAAATTTGTACTAACATTAAGAATCACTGTGTATGGAGAACTTCAAGGGAATGAACCGAAGGAACAAAAAAAGGATGAAGCAGATAATAACCAACATTCCTTTACTTAATCAATAAACTCTATAGACTAACACAATAGCTGACTATATTACTAAATTATAAAATCTACTTTTATATTTTCCCATTATATGTCTTAGAAAGTTTTCATAAACTTCTAGTTCTGTAAACTTCTCGTTTTATCATAGGTTAAATGGATTATATTTCCTGAACTTTCTCAACAATGGACCACTGATCACCGGGTGAGACAACCTCTATACATTAATGTTGCTTCAATCAATATACTGCTAATTTTTATTCCTATCTTTTAAAACTTCCATCTTTTCAATAACAGATAAGCCCTGTGAACATTCCCGGGTTAATAGGTTTCACAGGGAATTGTATAGAAATGCTACTAATATTGTGAAAGCTTAAGAAAACTACTAGTTAAAAGTATTTTGCAAGCAGAAAAATTCTTAAAATAAAGAAGCAACTTTCACATGGTGGCAGTTTTATCACCATGAACCACTCTTTTATGGTCCTATTTTGACATTCTGACCTGCCCATATCTGCCAGTGCTTTGGGTGAAAACAGTTAGTGATTGATTTTCTTTGATCTCTACCTCTGTCTTTCTAGATCTTTGCTTCCCCAGCAACTCTCACATTCTTGCAAATTCTGTTTCCTACATTAAATCCTTTATTCCCACAATACTCATAGTCTTTTTTCTGTCTAAACCTTGGTTGATAAAGTTCCTAATAAAGTGACATATCTAGGCAATGATAATAAAAGAATTCTAACACCAGAAAGAGGCTGAGACCAGAAACAACCATACATTGTGAGCCTCCTAATAGAAGTCCACAATATCATCATCTATGAAGAATTCTTCCAAAAACAACAACAAAAAAAGAAAGCTAGACCAGATCAAGCCTCTGGGTCTAATTACTAGTTTTTAGGAACTACGTGAGACAGAGTAAACAGCATCAATATATATGTAGTGGAGCATGTAGTGGAGGAAACTCTACATTACTAAGAACTAGTTTTTAAAACAAATTATTTGCAACAACAACAAAAAAATACAGAAAAGGGGATTCCCAGAGATTAAAGGAGATGCAAGACTACAGCACTCCAAGCATTCCTGAAATTAGAAATGGACAGGAGCACTCACACTCAAGAGAAACCCTTTAAATGAAGTGACTGAGAAAAATTCATCAAATACCTCTTAAAGCATGTATGAAAACTTAGGAGAAAAACTTTCTGGATGTGGAGAATGTGGGAAAGCCTTCATTAATTCCTCATGTCTTGATGAACATGTAAGAATTCATACTGAGGAGAACTCTGCTTATAAAAAGAATGCATGGGAGCCTTTAGTCATTTCTCATTTTCTTAATGAAGGAAAAGGACTCACATTGGAAAGAAGCCCAGTAAATCTAAAGAAGATGGGCTAATCCTTATCCTTCACTCAACTTTCACAATTTATCCTGGAGAGAAGCTTTTTGAAAGTAAGGAACATGGGAGGGTCTTTTACCCAGTCCTTGCACCTTATTCTATGTTTACACCCTTTAGGAAATATGTGAGAGTTCACCTTGGAGAGTAACTTTATGAATATAAGGAACATAAAGAAGACATTGATACCTCCTTTTACTACACACACACAAAATACTCATAATGCAGAGAGACCATGTGAATTAAAACAAATGCAGGAATCCTTTCATTCAATACTCCTCCTTTAAGAGACATATGGGTATACACATTGGAGAGAAGCCCTGTGAATGTATGGTATTGGGAAAAGCCTTCATGTGTGATACTTCTCTTAGTACATACAAGAAGATTTATGCTGGAATAAACCAGTTTCTCCTGCAGGTTTGATCTGGAAGTAACCATATGAGCAGATTATCTGAATAGGTTATTGAAAATTACACATATATTTATTAAACAAATTTGCAGGATTTCTTTTTGAAAAAAACTTTTTTAAGTAACTTAGGTATTACTATTTATTTAAAAAATATATTTTGAACACATACAGAGATAACAGATTTCAGGCAATTCAAATAAGAAAATTTTGCTATATTAGGTAATACCATCGGGGTGGGGAGGTAGAAAAATACTCAGAATGGATATGTCAAATTATGACTTTATCACTTTTATAGACAATAAAATATACAAGATGGATCATTATAGGATATTCACTATAACAAGAAACATACTAAATATAGGTAATATAAAAGAATATAAGCAAGATATTATAATAGCTTCACAATTAGTTCAAAGACAACAATATTATAAACATCCTATTTAATTGCCAGAAAGGATACATTTAAAAGAAAATGGTATGCTACTGTTAAACCTTTTCTTCCTGCAGAAATTCATTTTCAGAAATAATCTTGAATAAAATTATATTTGGTCCTAAATTTTTTTTTCAACATAAGATATATTGTAAGTCCTACCAAAAAAAAAAAAAAAAAAAAGAAAGGTAGAGAATCTGTCAAAAATCACGTTAATTCTGAAGATGTTATCACAGAAAATCCAAAAGAAAAACTTACTCGATTTCAAGTTGTTTTATTCTATTTTCTGCTCTCGTCAGTCTTATCTGAAGATCATCTTTTGAACGCTCTGAAACCAGGAATCTTTGGTGCATTTCTTCCAGTTTTCTGTAATCACTTTCATTTCCTCTGCCTTCACGGTAAATCTGCAGAAGAGGCTTATTATGTATATAATATTACAGAAGAAACTGTCTTAATAAACAGTTTAGAAACAGAAATCAATGGAAGAAATAAAAAGCCATGATCATGTATTCATTTGTTCCGACCGTAACATATGAAACATATCAATAATTAAATCTGGTTCTCTCACATTTACAAAATAAAATGCTAAAAACTGATATATAAAATAATAACTGTTTTGAGACTAGCCTGGGCAACATAGCAAGACCCCATCATCTAAAAAAAATTAAAAAATTAGCCGGGCATGGTGGCTCACACCTGTAGTCCCAGCTATTAGGGAGGCTCAAGTAGGAGGATCCTTGAGTCCAGGAGATCAAGGCTGCAGTGAGCCATGATCATGTCCACTGTACTCCAGTCTGGGCAACAGAGCAAGACCTTGTCTCTTAAAAAATAGAGTTTATTTTTTTGGAATTATTCATGCTCATGGTAAACTATGCAATAATACAAAAATGTAAAGCAGCTGAAGTAAAAATCAATGGCAACTTAGAGATAACCACTGGTGATTCTTTGATGAATACCGTTCAATACAATCCTCTATTCCAATATTCAAAAATAAAGATACATACCGTGGTGCAATAACTAGAACTCTCTGAAAGTGACTCTAGAATCTCACTCTGGGTTACCTGGACAATGATCTAGCTTGGATGGGGCTTCCCCTTCTTCAGCAGTGGTGGTTGTACCCAAGCTCAGCTTTCCATGCAATGGGGCTCCCTCTTACAGCACAGGGTCTGTAACATCCTAAGGGATCCAAGGTCTTCAGGTGCTAAGCAGTTCACATGTTGAGGCAAATCCTGCACACAGATACCCTCGAAATCTAGACTGCCTGACCAAGTAACCTGTGTCTTCCCCACTGACAGGACTGCTTTGTCACTCTCCATAAAAACATGGAGTATCCGCACGTCAACATTCCGCTACTGGAATACAGAACTATGCTGCAGACCCAGCAGTTCTTTGACCTTAGCACACTGGTCTGTGGAACAGTGGGAGAATAAGGTGCTGTGCTTTCCCTTTACCTGCTGTCTTTTGCCTTGTAAGTTTTACATTTCCCCAAAAGCCTTTTCCTTAACCTTTGCCATGTGATGTTGAAACATATCCCAAACCCTGATGTATAACAGGTGGCAATCTAAATGGGAACTGATATGTAGATGGAAACTCAGAAGGGACCTACCTTGCAGGAGAGTGGTAATCGTAAGTCCTACTTTGAACACATGTATTTTTTTTTTCACAAATGGAACTGTACATTATGTTTTGCTTTGTGTATTACTCTTTTACTGATGTCATAATTTTTTTCATGTTGATAATAGATATAGACCATAATTTTTATGCTACATAGCTCTTCTTTGAAAATCAAACTCTGACTCTACCGTTTACCACTTTTTAACATTGGGTAAGTTACTTAACCTCTCTATGAAAGTTCTTAATGCAGCACCTAAAATACAGTAAGTGCTCAATCAAATTTGGTCTCCCTTTCTTTCTCCAAGGTACTTTAAAAGAGTAGGATATTACTGCTAATACAAAAGTATATGAAATAAATGAATTTTAAACTATGGACTTCTCCCAATAGTTTTTCTGAAATATCACGGGGGTAAATATTCTTCTTAAGTGTGAAGTTAAAATCTGTACTTCTAAAAGGTAAAAATCATAGCAATGCTATAATTTTCTGGTTATATATACTTGTTTTATTTATAGATGGCCTAAGCACCATAAGAGCTAATATAAAATTCAAAAAGAAAGTAAAGACAAAGCGAAATTTCATAGGATGAGGTTTAAGCAAGAAATACAGCTACTTCAAAAAATTTGTAACTTTAAGTACAAAGTTCAAAGAATACAGCCGCTCTTGGAAAAGTATTGTATCCAGGCAACATCAGTATTTAACTGCAGACTCTAAATATATTTAAGGAAAGTGGGAGGCTGAAGAGGGCGGATCATGAGGTCAGGAGATAGAGACCATCCTGGCTAACATGGTGAAATCCCATCTCTACTAAAAATACAAAAAAATTAGCCAGGCATGATGGCAGGCGCCTATAGTCCCAGCTACTCGGGAGGCTGAGGCAGGAGAATTGCTCGAACCTGGGAAGTGGAGGCTGCAGTGAAACGAGATCGTGCCACTGCACTCCAGCCTGGGTGACAGAGTGAGACTCCATGGCAAAAAAAAAAAAAAAAAAAAAGGAAAAAGAAAAGAAAAGAAAAACTTACCAGGACAATACTAACAAATAAAGGAATTTCTAGTAGATGGCATGATGGAAACAGACAGTAATGTTGCCTATTTGCAGTTGGGTTTTAGGTAATTATATTTCCTTTTTCTTTTTACCTTTTCTAGTTCTTCTTCCACTGCTTTTTTTTCCTTAATGACTCGTTCAATTTGGCCTTGTTTTTCAGCACACTCCTATAAATTCAAGTCATATTGTAAATATATACATTTGGTAACATCTTAAGAAAAGTGGGGAAAAATGGAGAAGTAAAATAATTTGTTCATAATGGGAATATCATAGTTATCAACACAAGTTTAAGGTTACATTGATTAAAGACAAAACTCAATGTTTGAAGAGCAACCTAACCCAGGATTTCAGAAATTGCCTCCAGCAGTAGGATGCCAAGGAGTTCTAATTAAACAGATTAGGTGGGAGACAGAGGTTGGGGATTCCAGGGAGAAAAAAATATGAATGGAACTCCTCTCTAATACTATAGATTTTCTTTTTACATACTCTTATCAAGTATTTTGAAAAGGGAAGTAAGAACCAGATAGTGGCACAAAACCCTGAGGGATAACCTATGGCCTAAAAGATACGTGGGTGTATAAACTCTAAAAAAGTTAACTTTTTTCTTTACAAAAATTATAGCAAACAGAAATACTAAAAATATTTTATTAGCATGAACATAAAGTATTTCTCCTCAAAAGATTTTACTCAGTATTTAGCAAGCATATCAATTAGATAATAAAATCTAATTTTGCTAATGCACCTACAACAAAAAAGTCATAATAATTATTAGTTCTTCACAATTACTTGTATTTATACATTTATTTTGGAGAATGGGTAATGGGTATGGCTTTTTTTCTCTCTCTCTCTTTTTTTTTTTTTTTGGAGACGGAGTCTCGCTCTGCCGCCCAGGCTGGAGTGCAGTGGCCGGATCTCAGCTCACTGCAAGCTCCGCCTCCCGGGTTTACGCCATTCTCCTGCCTCAGCCTCCCCAGTAGCTGGGACTACAGGCGCCCGCCACCTCGCCCGGCTATTTTTTTGTATTTTTTAGTAGAGACGGGGTTTCACCATGTTAGCCAGGATGGTCTCGATCTCCCGACCTCGTGATCCGCCCGTCTCGGCCTCCCAAAGTGCTGGGATTACAGGCTTGAGCCACCGCGCCCGGCCATCTCTTTTTTTTTTTTTTTTTCTAATTGTGAATCATACTTTGGAGGAACCCGCTTTGCTAACAGTGCATTACTTACTAATGATGTTCAATTATTTTATAGAAGAAGTGTATTTCAATATGTTTTTAAATTTTATAGTCAGCTTCTTTTGTGACCCAAAATTAATCACCATTGATTATAATGAAGATCTTTAACCCTATGTTACAAATCAGTTGACAAATTTAAATTTAATGTCTTTTATTAAGATAGAACCCTGAGTGTATACAAAATGCAACATTAATATTCCATATATTCATATAGGAAGTTGCTTATCCAGGAGAGGGTAGCTTCAGTGCTAAATTTGGGATTTTACCTACATTTGTAACTCCTCCCATGTGATTTTTAATATATGTTAATAACAAAGTCTGGCTCACACTTCTGGGGCTGGTAAGTGGTATATAAAGAAATGCATGTGTAAGTAGGCTTCATATCCCTCTCCACCCAATCCACCATTTTACTGACAAATGATGATGGCCTAAAGAATATTTGGTTAACTTGGGGGTAAAAAAAGTAAAATGAGACAGCAAAGTTTAAACCTTTAGAGAGAATTACCATACTAATTCTATTATAAATGCACTATAATACTAAAGCAAACATTAAAAATTACTATTACAAAGTTTTTAGAGATATTTGCTTATCACCACTGACATGCCTACCTTTGGGGGAAAATATGACAAAATAATAGGTATTTTTTCAGGTACTCACGGAGTATTTCCAAAATAATACTCTATAAAAGAAGTCTCAAAACATACTAAGAACCAATCATATAGACCATGATCTGTGCTGCCGACCTAACCAAATGAGAAATCAACAATAACAGGCAGTGTAAATCCTCATGTATTTAGAAACTAAAAAAAAAAAAAGACTTCCAAAAAATTCATGCATCAAAGAAAAGACCATAATGAACATTTTATTTTACTTCTGTAAGTTTGAACATTTTATAATTAATTTTCTTATTTGATACAGATTAATAGCAATCTGCTACATGGCACAATAAAACCTTGAATATTCTTAAGATAAACTACACCTTACCAGAGAAAACAAAGGCTGTTAGGTACACGTTGGTCTTCAAAGGGAGATATGTAGCTTGAAATACAACGGTTCTGGCTTTTTCTTAATCTATTAAATAATCTGCACACTCATCTAAAATACAAGTTTTTCTCCTTCCTGTGAGCATACCTTAATTTTCGGTTAGCAAAAGTATGCTTAACTACCTTCCCGGACTTCATAGTGTAAATAATAGTATGGATGGATAGTATATTAATACTAATACTATTAGTATAGATAGTAAAATTGTTAATAATAGAAAACAATAGCAAGCATCAGGTTATTATGCTTCAAACTGCAGCTTAGATTTTTTGAGAAAATCTGTCTTGAAGTAGCCAAATGTTTTCCTTTGAACATATTTTTAACATATTTAATACTTCAAACTTTTCAATTACACAGTATAGTTCTCCCCATAGAATCAACATGACTACCAGATGTTTTAGAAAAGTCACTTAGCTATGACGTAGAATTGTTTTACCATAAGAAACACTTTTTGCAATAAACTGAAATTGTCATCCTTTTTACTCTAAAGTGAGTTTAATATAGCTCTGGTTGTTACATAGCTAATAATGATTTGAAAAATCCCTGGAAGTCTTAGCCAGTCCTTGTTCCCTTGAGAATACAGAAAGAATGAATGTTCATGCCCTTGAAGGGTCTACCATCCATTAAATGATCTTGGACTGGGGTAGTATCCTTCTACTCCTCTTTTTCCACAAAGATACTAATCTCTTGATAGCTAATCAGCCCATGAAAGAGAACAAGCGAAATAACTGAGTGATAGAAAAGGAAGCAAAACTGTACAACAAAAAACTACACATGACTAACTGGCCGCATTGCATCCCACTGGTTTTACTTGATGTTCCTACATTATTAAAATAAGTGACATTAAACAAATACAAAATAAATGTTCCTTGTTCTATTACATTTGGGACCCAATACACGATGATTAAGATCCCATCATGTGCTCTCCAAAGTTTGTAGAATGGCAAAAGAAAATGTGGTTCCTCTGTCAGAGTGTTTAAATATATCATTCAGTTGATAAACATTTAAAAATAAACTCTGCAAAACACTGTACTAGGCAAGCAATAGGGAAAATAAAGGAAGGTGTAAGACTCTACTATGTTGAGATGCTACAATCTAATTGCAGATAAAAGATTTTCATGGAGAGAGACAGTGTATGATCAACATACACCTAATGCACGACATTTATTACAAGATATGATTCATTGATAAATTTTGTAATAGAGATAAAAAGTGATACAGGGAATCAGAAAAGATGAGAGTATGTGAAGTTATAAACATTTTCTCAATTCTTGAAAATTGTTGTACTTTTATTCTCCTGTAAGCAAGGTTATTAAATTTCTTTACATCAAACTTCAAGTTAAACTTCTATTTCCAATCCCATCTCTAGCCACACAAGTAATCTTTTCCTCTCCCCTCTTGGCCTACTCATTCCTCAGTCCTCATTTCTTTCAGGAAGCTTTCTGTCTTTCTTCCTTACCACTGTTAAATATACTTTCTCTTTCTCCTTGGTTTCCCAGAAAAACTCAGCATATGATAGGAGCTACAGCTAGCAATAGCACCCTGTGCATTCTCTGTCAAAGACAGGTAGTTACAGTAAAATGTGATAAATGCCATCTATCTTTCCTGCTAGAACATAAGCCACAAGACTGCTGCAAACATGTCTATCTGGATTTTCGCTTTTTTCCTAGCACCTAGTCAGGGCTTGGTTCAATAAGCATCTTTTGAATGAATGAATCCCCAATAGCATATATCTTGGCCTTTAAAGTAAGCAATATTTGGAAGAAAATATCAGTATAGTCAAACATACCATTTGAAGGGCTGAAAGTTCTTCTGTTAATTGAGAAATTTGTATATTGCATTGTTTTTTTGTGTTTGCAACCTGTAAATTAGACATTTACTCATTATTTGGGTCTAGAATAAAAATGATTAATATCTGATAAAAACACATACAATAATAATTTTGATAAAAACAAAATTGTAACTTTTAGGGCATAAAAGACAAATAAGCACACAATATATTAAAGAGCGAAGAATTTGCCATGAAAGTGGAAGAAGAGTGAATAGAATGGTATATCCAAAATGACTGTGGTTGTCAGACATCTTCATCATAGGATGCTTTTGATTCATAAACAGAAGAATTTTTTTAATAATACCCATCACACCCCAGTATTAAATTACTTTTACTTCTGAAGATAAATTAAGATTTAATAATATTTAATAAATAACATTTAATAAAATTTAATTAACATTTAAATATCTTCAGAAAGAACACTATTAATGTGCACAGAGTATTTTGAAAAATTAGTCATCTCATCAGGATTTCTCCATGACAATAAATTTTTCTAATAACTATTCATGCTTTTTAAAAGGACTCTGAAGAATACTGATGCCAATGGTAAATCATCAGTAAACTTTTATGATCTAAAGGTCTTTGAGAATTTTCTAGTATCTTGTAAGATGGACTATTTTGAAAATATGATGTAAACCTTGTTTAGAACATTTACAATACTGCCATGTACTTTATACGGTTAATTAATATGAGTTATCTTTCTGAAGGCCTGCCAAGCATACTATTTCTGGGTCTATTTTAGCTCTTTTTTTTTTTGAGAGGGAGTCCCGCTCTGTGGCCCAGGCTGGAGTGTAGTGGCGCGATCTCGGCTCACTGCAAGCTCCGCCTCCCAGGTTCACCCCATTCTCCTGCCTCAGCCTCCAGCCGGGACTACCGGTGACTGCCACCAGGCCCAGCTAATTTTTTGTATTTTTAGTAGAGACGGGGTTTCACCGTGTTAGCCAGGATGGTCTTGATCTACTGACCCTGTGATCTGCCTGCCTCAGCCTCCCAAAGTGCTGGGATTACAGGCGTGAGTCACCGCGCCCGGCCTATTTTAGCTCTTTTCAAGGTTATAATTTGATGTAGACTTTTCCTATGAATAATTATATTAAAAATCAATGTATTCTGTTTATGGATCAGTAACAATAACAGAATTTATGGAGGATTAATGTGTGTTAGGTACTATTCAGAGTGCTTTACATGTATTATCTCATTAATTCTCACAAAAATCCAATGAGGTTGTTATTATTTCCATTATAGATGAGGAAAACTGAGGCAGAGAAATTAAGTCATAAATGTTCCTATAATATAAAAATTTTGGTTCTTACAAGCCCTGTCATGTCTATCTCTCTCTCGCATAATTTCTAAAATGTGTTCTTTTTAGTATCTAGAAATGATACAGCTAACTTGAGGGCTTATGACAACAGGAGGGTACATATTTTGAAATACATTTATAGTAATCCTGGCAAATACAGATGAATCAAACTATTCATGCCTTTTGAAAGGACTGTGTAGAACTATTGACACTGATGGCATATCATATGTAAACTTCTGTGCTCCAAAAGTCATATGGAATTTTCTAGAGTTAGTATCTAATGAAACAAAATGTAAACTTTCGTCATGTGAGGAAATACACATTTCAGTGAGGTAGTTTACTGTGATTGGGGTTTTGAAGTCTGTAGAGGGACTAATACACTTCTCTCATCCTATCCTCACTTTATATAAGCATTTCCCTCTATAATTTTATGAACAGTAAGGATATTTATAAACCAAATAGTAAGATAAACTATTAAGAAATAGGAAAATCCAATAATGGCACTAGCTTTGACTTAAAATCAAAAGTAAACAATGTATTTTTTTTACAAATTTTATTTATTTGAGAGATATCTAAGAAATAAAGTATTTTCATATTTTAAAGAAATAAACCACTGTCATATTTTTGTTCAATTTTATAGCCAGAACAGAAATATGTGACAATTTATTCATTGTATTTACTTCAGTCAATAGGAAGAGATACATATAAAGTTATTCTCAATTCAACAGGTTAATTCTACATATTTGAAGGACACGCTGTGAATAATTTGGGATTAAATGAAATTCACAGAACAATGCTAAAAATAGTGGCTATCTCTGGGTATTAAACTTGTAATTTTAATTTTCTTTTTTTTTTTTTTTTTTGAGACGGAGTCTTGCTCTGTCACCCAGGCTGGAGTGCAGTGGCCGGATCTCAGCTCACTGCAAGCTCCTCCTCTCGGGTTCACGCCATTCTCCTGCCTCAGCCTCCCGAGTAGCTGGGACTACAGGCACCCGCCACTTCGCCCGGCTAGTGTTTTGTATTTTTTAGTAGAGATGGGGTTTCACCGTGTTAGCCAGGATGGTCTCGATCTCCTGACCTCGTGATCCGCCCATCTCGGCCTCCCAAAGTGCTGGGATTACAGGCTTGAGCCACCGCGCCCGGCCTTTAATTTTCTTTTATACATATTTTTCATTTATACATATTTTCTCATACATATTTTCCATTTCTTTTTACAATGAATATATGTCACTTTTAATAATAATTTTAAAAGTTTACTTAAAAAAATTAACTTGGCAAGAGTGTGGAACTCAGAGGGGGCAAAGACCCAGCAAAATGCATGGCACACAGGAAGTGCTCAATAAATACTTCCTGAGTGAATAGTTGTAATGGCGGGGAAAGGCTGGCTACAGGAAATCAACAGGAACACCTAAGGAAGAAACAATCTGGGACTGACTACAAGAGTAAGTTCAGTTTCAGACATGTTGAGCTTCAGATGCCTGGAAGGATTACATATTTGAATAGGGAAATAATTGGATTTTAGGAAGCATCTGTATTTTCCATTTGCAAAACATTTGGAATGAATGAGATCACAATGCTTGTGAAAAATCCTACTTAGATTATTTAAAGTTTCATGCAAAAGATGAGCTTCATCAACCCCAAAATCAATGTGAATTTATTTTAGGATAAGAAAATACAATTAGAGGAATGCTCATACCATGAATACTTTAATAAAATATTTTTATCATTAAAAGTATAAAGTTTATTAATATTTATTTTAAAAATGTGTCATCAAGAATATTTTAGGCTATAGTCCAATGTTACGGTACTCTCAACTTCACGAATAGGAAGGACAGAGATCCTGCAGAAAGGATATAGAAGATTAGAAATTAAAAAGCACACGGTTTACTTTGGACTCTGCCTTAAATTAAAAATTTTATCTTGGGAAATTATCTAATTTCGGTCATATAAAGATAAAGTAATAGATTTTTTTTCTTTACACTATGATTCTGTAAAAGTAATAGATTTCTAAGAAATACTTCTGCAGGAAGAAATATTATACAGTGGCTTTGTGGAAATAAAAATTCTACCACCTAGTTGCTTGGGAGAAAGCAAACATTTTAACTTTATTTTTTCTAAACTGATGAAGTTTTAAAATCCAGTTTAAAGCTACAGTTCACCTAGAAGAGAAATAATATTGCCCACAAAAAATACAGATAAGGAAAAAAAAGGAACATCTTTATTTTATCAAGTGGAGGGCTATTCAGTATATCCCCCTATCCTACTGGAGATAAATTTAAAGGAAAGGAACCTTTACTCAGTTCCTTTAGTTAGTTTTTAAACACTTATGTTAATAATTTCAAAACAGTTTTTATAACTACGTAGGCAAGTATTTTAATTTTAATTTACAAATATTTAGGTAGAATTTAGTCTTTAGTTGTGACTTAAATTCTGAATTTTAAATATAATTAAAAATCCTTACTTCCTTCTTGGTTCTTATGGTAGCATCTTGTACAAACCGAGAAACTGTCTCTTTCATTTTCTCTATGTCTTCTTCTTTTTGCTTCTCCTCAAGTAGAGCCTTCAGAAAACAATCATTTCATGTTATAGATCACATCATTATTAGCAAAGATAGTAACAGGTAAAAACCTATCCACTAGTCACTTTCTATAAACACCTTATTCAAAACTTCTGGGACATCTCTACTTGAATATCATGTTGAAATCATGAATGATATTTATTTTCCCTAACCTCCTCACCTGCCCTTGTCCTAACTAAAGACACTTTCTCTATGGTATTTATTTCAGCCAATGTTTCTAACACCCTTCTAATCTCTACAGCCAGAAATCTTAAAACCATTTTTGAATTTTCCATTTTTTTTGAGTCCCTATATAAAGTAAATCATCAAATCTAGGTATTGTATCCTTATAAGAATCTCTTGAATTTCTTTCTCTTTCCATTATTTAGTATTATTCAAATTATGTCACTCATTAACTCATAACCTGATCACTGCAGACACCACTTGTTTTTGTCTCTTTGATGTGTTTCTATCATTCCAATCATTTCCATCTCCCACCAAATAAATATTGCCATAATCCTAGCTCTGCTGTCAGTCACACTCCATTTCCTTGCTTCTCTGTGAAGCAAAACTCTGTAACATGTTCATCTCCAAGACTTTTTCTTTCAATCTCTTTTATACTTCCTTGAATCAGGCTTTCACCATCATGATCTCCATGTTGTTTATCTGTAAGTAAATTTTCAGTACTTCTTTACCAGCAGCACTTGAGATATTTACTTTCCTCTCCTTGTTGTACTTTCTGCACGTGATTTTCAGCACATCATACACAGTACTGGTTTTCCTCCTATCTCACTGATCATTCCTCTTCAGTCTACATTGCTGATTCTTCCTCTTCTCCTGAATCTCTTAACACTGGACTACCCAAGGTTCAGTTCTTGCCCCCCTCTCTATATGTCCTTCTCTTAGTGGTCTAATCAAATTTCATGGTTTTAAATATCATTTATATGCTGACAATTCCCATATTTATATTTCTAACACAAATCTTTTTTTCTGGGCTTGGAACTCCTTCAATTAGGCCAAGTTGAATCCATTTTAAATCAACATGTAAGTGGCCCTGTGTTCTGTTCCCACCATCTTCCAAAGGTACCATACACATTTTTACCTGTTTTTTTAAAAATTGCTTTTTAAGATAAATTTCCTCCACCTTAAACAAGTAAGCTAGTGACAAGTAACAGCTGTTCTTACGTAATAACCTTGAGGGGGAGAAGGGGAACTATGCTAGGCTGCACTTCCTGCCTTGCTTGTATGATCGGTTGGGAGAACCGTTGACTTTGAACAAGCAACTGAAGATGGGAAACCTCTAGCAACTAAGCAATGAGTCAAGGAGCAGCTTAATATTGTAGCCATAGACAGTCTCTGTGAGGGTCTGTTGACTTAGGATTTGAGTGAGAAAATTTGGGAGGAGGATGGGCAATGAGTGTTCCTACTCTTTTCTCTGTCCACTGTGCTCTACACAAGATGTTTATTTTTAATGGCTTGGTATTAAGAGTGCTCATACAAGTAGGCTTCAGAGGGCAGAGATAAAAATTTTGTCTTGACCTTAATTTTTCTAGTTGATTTAGGTATTCGACACAATTCCCAAGCATATTATGTCTATTGTGTGCCTCTTAACCATTCTAAAAGACAGTATTCAGATCACAGATGAAAATATTAGTTGAAAGGCATGATAAACACCTTAGCATTCCCAGTTAGGATTTAGATAATTTTTTTTTTTATTTATTAGCTTCTCAATATCCAACTTACACTATGTTCTGTTTTACTAGATCTCTTGAAAAATCTTCTGTAAAAAGGGAAATATATATAAAACAAAGCACTTCCTTTGTACCCCAACATACTTGCTAGCAGAGTATTCTGCATATACTAGGTTTTCAATAAATGTTGGTAAATAAAGTAATGATTTAATGAACTCTACATAAGGGAGGCAGCAAAATAAACATTAAAACATTTATTTTGTGACTACAATAAACTAAATACATAATTCATAGGGAAGCAGTATATGACAAGGAACACTGTATTTGATAGCACAAGAATCACAATTGTTAGAGAACTAAAAAAGAACAGTGACATGAAGACTTTGGTAAATAAATCTTTAAAGCCAATTAAGCTTCTGCTTTATTAAAGTAATTGAGTATATGACGAAGGGGAATAGAGATGGATAAGATTTATCAGGTTCAACTGAATAAAATATAGGGTATACTGCAGTAAAGCACTGTAACAGTGTTTTTTTTTTTTTTTTTTAAGTATGAGACTACAGGGTTTGAAGATTAGTTACACAGGGTTTGGGAAAATAAGAAAAGTCTGATATTTATACATTATTTTAGAAAGGAATTGACATTTTATCATATTATCATATTTGGTTTTACCATCCAAGAATATGGTATGATTACTAATGAAGAGAATAGCAATTTCATTTTCATGCATTTATTCTGCAGCTATTGAATCCCTTACTGTGAGGTCACATGGGAGAATAGTCAACATTTTATTATATCTAAACATATTTACTAGCTTTCTTACCTGACTTTTTTGAAGGTGAGCTTCTTCTAAGAGTTGCATGCTATTTCTGGCTCTTACAATAGCCTCATATCGCTCTTTTTCTAATTCATTGCACTTTGCTTGTAGCTCTCTGGTCTGTTTTTCCAGATGTGTATTTTCTGTTCTTAATTGGTTGGCTTCTTGGATTGTCACACATAATCTAGAAATCAATAATTACACTGGGAAAGTTAAACTTTTTTAAACGGAAGGAGGGAGATTTCCTGAGCATCTACTACTCAGTAGCATAATACCGGTATTATTATGCTAGTAACTTTCGCATGTATTAATATTTTCTCATTTGATACTCATTAGACTTCTATAAAGTAGGTTTTACTATCTACATATCTTCATTTTAAAGAACAACAAACATACCCAGAGAGGTCAGGCATTTGATTAAGGTCATAGGGCTAATGAGCAGTGGGGCTGAGACTGAGCCTGGATTTTCTGATCCTAATTATGTTATACTTGTTATGGTATTACACTGTATTATATAGTTACATGACAATGACACAAAGCAAACCCTTAAGAAATGAGTTGTTCTTTACATTTATATGGTCTTTTCTCTTTTCTCCCTTTTCATGCTCTCTACCCAGACAAGCTATGTGAACTTACTAATGTATATATTAAAATAATTTTCTCAATATTCATATGATTTTATATATATATATATACACTCATACACATATACACATAAATATACACACATATTATACATACAGTTAACCACAGGAGCTTAATTTTTGTTATAACAATAAAAATCATAATATATACCCTTTTCTGTACTTGCTTTTCTCATCTAATAATATAGAAATCTCATCAAGTTATAAAGGCTCCTTCCTTTCTTAGTCTAATGAATGTAACCTCATTTCACTGTTAATTTGTATTTCTCTATAAGAAACTTTACGCATATTTTCTTCCTTTTGTAAGCCAAATGAATTTTGTTCTTTGAATTTCTTCTAATCTTTGCACATTTTTTTTCTGATGGGTTGTTTACTTTGCTCTTCCCTTTATAAGAACCATAAATTATAAATATTAACCCTTAGTCTGTCCTTTATGCTGAAAAATTTTTTTTTTCCAAATCTACCTTTTGTTGTTCTTGCCTATTGACTCTATTTAGGGAATCTTCATCACACTAAAAATTTAACACAGCTAAATTTGACTATTTTTTTCAACTTTTGGGATTTCAGTTTTTATAAAGATGGTCTCCTTCATCCATAAATTGTCAGTGTAATCTCTTAGATTTCCTCCAAAGATTTCCATGACTTTAATTTTTACCCCTATATTTTTAATCCTGACTCATTTGAATTTACTCCTGAGTATGATGTAAGAGAAGAGTCCAACTTAAGTTCCAAACTAATGGCCGGTTGTTTGAGTACCATTAGTAACTAATGAATTTAAATACTCCTATTACCATCCTCCAAATATGCAAATATCATATATGCAAATATAATAATTTACTAGTAGATTATGTTTCATTAATCTACTTAGTTTTACATGCTCAACTCATTTTAATTTGATTACTGATTTGATTACTTTGGCTTTATAACATGTTTGGTAAGACACATTTTATAATTTTCTTTGTTATTTGTTATTTTCAGGCATTTCTTTTTTCTAAATAGTAGAAGAAGCAGGCTTCTCTATTCTCCCCTCTGCACTCCCCTCCACTACCCACTTCAAAACCCTCTTCCTGTCAGTCAAGTGGTTTACTTTCTCATGCATTTGGTAATTTTTGATTAAGTTCATATCTGTCTAAACTTAATTTGTGGGAATCCTGAGGGGTCCGTGTTCAAAAGTATTTCACCCAAAGGTTTACTATTGCTTCTTCCATGCACCAGGACTACCTACCAATCTGTTGCCACTTTAGTTTTTGGGGCTGAGGTTTCCAAATGAACAGATAGTATAATATTAAACAACAGTGTCATATGAGGGCAGAGTTATGGTTACACATTCTCAGAGAAGACTACAATGATTATTATGATTTTTATTTTTTCCATTTGGCTACATGATGGAAATAGTTTTATTGGTTGGCTATCATTGTTAAGAAGCAGAAATTTTTTTCTATTTTAGCCTTTTAATTAGAGTGTAGCTCCTTCAAGGGTTCTAGCCTGCCCAAGGACATTTACCTTCTTGTGACATAATATAGATCCAGCCCTGACGTCCTTGGCAGGCAAGTCATTTATTTATCATTCTTGTTTTAGCTTCCTGTTTTTGTTTTTTTATTTGTATGCTTGAGAGTTCCCAACTATATAAGTTGAGCATTTAAATGTAATTAAACAGTTCATGCTATAAATTTTTTTATGCTATTAGCATTCTAATATGTAAGTTAAAGAAACAACTTTGAAAACAAATCATGTTGTCATTTATCAAGATGCTTACATTAAGAGGGTTTTTTTTAGAATATTTAGTCTGACATGTTATGTGAATGGAATAGTCTGCACAATCATTATTAATCATTACTTTGTTCTCCTCCATTTCTAACCTGTGTTACTGAATTGTTGGTCCATTCAAATATCTGCCTCAAATCTTAAGAACAGACATTAATCGTATATTATGTCTGCTGTATCTGGCTTTTGTGCTTCCTTTATACTGATATTAGACTTTACCTGAGCCAAAAAAACAGGGATGGCTAAGAAATCCTCCCACCCTTGTCCTCTAAACCCCCTCTATCATTTTGTGTTTCAGAATAGAGTTAACAGCATAAAATAACCCTGCTCTCGCATATTCCAAAATAAGACCCACCTCCATCCTTCCTCATGAGTCCCATAAGACTCATGCACCCCTCGTTTATCCACCTATATAAAACCTCAGGCCCCTTCCTTTTCTTTGAAACATTCCTCATTAATGAGCATTCTCCCTACTGCAATAGCCTGTATAAAATAATCTCCTGAATTATCTGGTACATTTGGTCTTTCACAGTACTAAAGACCCACCTAACTAAATCTTGAGGAAAAACAATTGTATCTAAATTCTGTTTTTCAATCACTTTCATATTAGTCTTTTCAAGCTCTCAAACATATACATATATCCTATGGTAACTTAGCTTTTAAAATGTCTTCAGTCTAGTAAGTGAATATTTGCTGAAGAAAGGAGAAAAAAAGTGATTTGGATTCCGATTAAGTAACGAATGATGTATAAATCTGGGTGCATTCTTTAGTACATATGAGTGAAATCTCAAATATCAATTCAGGCAGATAGCGGTAGCCAACCGAGAGTCAATTATATTATTGAATAATTTTCTTTCCCTAACAATTTAAGCATATGAGTAATGGAGGTCAGAAGGTGGTGGGGGTGATTATACAAGTAAGTGATGCCTATCAATCAGACTTCATTCTAAGTTTTTACTTATTTTTTAAAAACCCTATTTTTAATAGTAGTATCCATTGGTGAATTTTCCCTACTGAGAATAATCTTTTGTATCTGTTTAAATAGGTATAAATGATGTTTTAAGGACTTTTCTCTGTCATCTACAGAGATAATCAGATATCACCAGATACAGGCCACTTCTAGAATTCCAGAACCTAAAACACTGGCTGGTACAACAGTAGGTGCTCAACACACATTGAAAACATGATGCTTCACCTGTGAATACGAAAGTCCGTCTTAGGAGGGAGTCTTAAAGACTTTTCTTCTAACAATGTATGGAAAATCATATCTAGTCATACTGGGGTATATCTCAACTATCTCTTAGACCTTTTTCTACTACTCCTGTTCAATAGGCATAAAAATAGGGGTTTCAAGTATGCTTTGCATATATCTCCTTTATATTGCCCAAAATTACTGAAAACAAACAAACATACAAAAATTATTAAAACTTCATTTCACTTCTTTTCTTCTCAAATCTAATTATTATTGATTTCTGCAAGGATCATATTTGTTTTCCTCTACCTGTATTAGTTATTCTAAATATTAGCACACAAAAGGCATTGTTGATGTGGGAGAGGTAGTCATATATTTATTTTCACTTTTATTATAGTCATTGTGTCAAATGAAAAGATTTTATTAAACAGATAAATTATTCATTTATAGCAAAATAAAATCATCAAAGCACTTGGAAAATGTTCTCTTTTCAAGATGACTTTTAGCATCTGGTTAAAAATTACTTCTTAGCAAAGACAAACATATATTCTCCCTACCTAAAATAAAGTCCACAATCTAATATCAAGTCATATGGCTCAGCTTGTACAAAGAAAAAAGATTTTAAAAAGAGTACTGCATGGACCATTCTGATATACCAGAGTCCTATACTCAACGGTTTGCAACTATGATGGTATTGGCATTTGAAATGTGTGGGGACATTTGGTAGTTATAATGCTAAGAGGTGCGACTAGAATTTCGTATTTGGTGCCAGGGATGCTAAACATCCTGTAGTTATTGGCACAGTCTCAAACAACTAAGAATTGTCTCACTCAAAAAGCCAATACTCCTGTTGAAAAACATGACACCAATTGATGATGGCTATCAGGACAGAGATGAGTGATGGGTAAAGGTATCCGAAGGGCCACTGCAAATTAGAACTCCCAAGAACACAAGGGAGAACAGTACTGGGAAGCAGGATACACTAGCACCTGGCCTTCTGGAGGACCAAAAGGATTGATGATCAAGCTTCAGCTTCCAAGATTTTTCTGACATATTATGTGCAAGATGCAAAAAGAATCTACATTTAGCTCTTGAAGTTAATCCTCTTTGTAGGATTTATGGCTCATGATTCCTAAAAAATAGCTTTTAAAAATAACATTCCTCTCCTTCCTTTGCCTTCCATTTTAATGGTTTATTTCTACTGTAACTGTATTATTTTGGAAGTACAGAACTATAGAGGGGTTGAGGTAATATCAAATTTCCTCTTAACTATGATTTTAAAATTTTAACCACTCTTTAGAAGAAAGAAAGATTTTAGGTTACTGAAGGTCAACTATGTTCACACCAAAATCTGCAGGCTGACCTAAGGACAAATGAAAATAAAGGTGTACTTTGTGCTCTGCAGTACTGATACAAAAGCATGATATCAAGGGTTTTATTTGTTTCCCAAAAAGTACTGGACTAAATTTGGCACAACTATTCTCGTTCAAAGTTAAATTAATGCACTTAGTAAAGGTTTTAAAATCATATTAAACAAATTATCTTTGAATATATATTCAAAGTATAGCAATCTGTTGAATATAATTTTTAATAAATAATGTCGATTAAATCAGATTTTACACCTATGATTATAGTTTTGATTTAGAGTTTATAAAATATTTATTCTAGTAAATATCGCACTCTGACACTTTATTGTAAAATATCTTTTAAAGCATATCAACAACGCTAGGTGCATTTAACAATTTACCTTATTTCTAATTGTTTTATACTGGACTGTAACTGCTGTAAGCGCCTATCTGATGCTTCCTCTCTTCCATGGGCAGACACCACATCCTTCTCCTAGAAAATAAAGAAACCAGAAGCTTACTTTGAGTATGTGAAAATTCAATACACCATTATACAGCCTAAAGAAAACAGTTCATGCTATAAAGTTACTATGCTATTAGCATTCCAATACATACGTTAAAAGAAACAATGTGACTTTGGAAACAAATCATGTGTATAATAAAAAGGAGGGGAGAACTTCATCATCAATCCTGTATTCATAAAAAACACTCAAAAGTTATTGCATAAGATTTCTACCAATATTTCAGACTATTTCTATAATGCAACTCTAACAAAACAAGAGAGAGATTTCTATGCAGAGAATCTGCCTTTAGAATATGCTCTCTTTACTATTCTATGTCTCATTAAGTATCAAGGTAATCACAGGGTCTTTCTTCTTTGACATAGTGATGCTTTGACCTATATTAATAAATTTTATTTGTATCATCTTTCTAAAGAAATTTCTTGTTCTTCTTTTCCTGTTTCATGTGTTAACAAATATTTTTTATGATGCCATAACTTTTTGTTTTTCTTTTTGAGACAGAATCTCATTCTGTCTCCCAGGCTGGAGTGCAGTGGCGTGATCTTGGCTCACTGCAACCTCTGCTGCCCAGCTTCAAGCGATTCTCCTGGCTCAGCCTCCCGAGTAGCTGGGATTACAGGTGCCTGCTACCGCGTTTGGCAAATTTTTGTATTTTTAGTAGATATGGGGTTTCACCACATTGGCCAGGATGGCCTTGAACTCCTGATCTAGTGAGCCACCTGCCTCGGCCGCCCAAAGTGCTGGGATTACAGGCATGAGCCACTGCACTCGGCCATTTTTTTTTTTTTTTAAGGGTCTTGTCATGTTACCTAGGCTGCACGCAAACTCCTTGGGTCAAGTGATCCTCCTGTCTCAGCCTCTCAAGTAGCTGGGACTATAGGTGCACATCACCATGCCCAGCCTAAGAATGCTATTTTAATTCCTCTATTGCTTTTAGCTATATCTGTTTGAACTATTTTTTAGTAGTTGCTGTAGAGATTACAATATGCATCTTGAACTTACCCAATTTATTTAGAGTTAATATTTAGATAAAAGCTCAGAGAAAACACTGGAACCTTGCAACAGTGTATATCCATGTAGGATCCCAGTCCTGAGTGCCATTGTTGTCATATATTACATCTGCACACATTACAAATCCATCAAATACAGTGTTATTAGTTCTGCTATAAGCAGTCATCTTTTAAAGATATGAAGAGAAAAGTATGTACACACGTTATTTCATATTTGCCATTTCTGTTGCTTTTAGTTTCTTCTTGTATCTGAGTTGCCATCTGGTGTCATTTCCTTTTAGCCTAAAGAACTTCCTGCAGAATTTTTTGAATGCAGGTCTGCTGGGGACAAACTCTCTCATTTTTGGTTTATTTGAAAATGCCTGTATTTTGCCTTCAGTTTTGAAGTATGATTTCACTGAATATAGAATTCTTAGTATTTTTTTCTTCAGCATTTCAAATATATTATTCCAATACTTTGTTTTCACAGGTTTTTTTTTTCACCCTTCCAGCCTTTATTTTTGATTCAAGGGGTACATGGGCAGGCTTGTTACATGGGTAAATTGTGTGTCAGGGGGTTTGGTATACTGATTATTTTGCCACCCAGGTAATGAGCATAGTCCCTGATAGGTAGTATTTCAATCCTCACCCTCCTCCCATCCCCTACCCTCAAGTAGGGCCAGTGTATATTGTTCCCTTTAGTGTCCATTTGTACTCAATGTTTAGCCCCCACTTGTAAGTGAGGACATACAGTATTTGGTTTTCTGTTCCTGGGTTAATTTGCTTAGGATAATGGCCTTCAGCTGCATCCATATTGCTGCAAAGGACATGATTTTGCTCTTTTTATGATTGTGTAGTATTCCATGGTGTACACGTAACACATTTTCTTTATCCAGTCTGCTATTGATGGGCATCTAGGTTGATCCCATCTCTTCGTTATAGTGAATAATGCTGTGATGAACATACATGGGCACGTGTCTTTATGGTGGAACAATTTGTATTACTTTGTTATATACCCAGTAATGGGATTGCTGGGTTGAATGGTACTTCTGTTTTGAGTTCTTTGAGAAATCTCCAAACCTTTTTCCACAGTGGCTGAACTAGTTTCCATTCCCACCAGCAGTGGATAAACATTCCCTTTTCTCAGCAACATCACCAGCATCTGTAATTTTTTGACTTTGTAATGATAGCCATTCTGACAGGTATGAGATGGTATCTCATTGTGATTTTGATTTGCATTTCTCTAATTTGTAGTATTCAGCATTTTCTCATTTGCTTGTTGGCCACGTGTATATCTTCTTTTGAAAAGTGTCTGTTTATGTCCTCTGCCTACTTTTTAATGCTTTTTTATCTTGCAAAATTAAGTTCTTTATGCTGGATATTAGACCTTTGTCAGATGCACAGTTTGCGAATATTTTTTCCCATTCTGTAGGTTGTCTGTTTACTCTGTTGATAGTTTCCTTTGGTATGCAGAAGCTCTTTAGTTTAATTAGGTCCCACTTGTCAATTTTTGTTTTTGTTGCAATTGCTTTTGGAGTCTTTGACATAAAATCTTTGCCAGGGCCTATGTCCAGAAGTGTTTCCACAGTTTCTTGATGAGAACTCAGCCTTTAATCTTATCATTGCCTCTCTGTTCAGGTCATTTTTCTATTGCTACTTTCAGGTATTCTCTTCATAATTGGCTGTCAGTATCACTGTGATGTGTCTTAAAGTGATTCTGTGTTTACTCATTAATATTTTCCACCAAATTTAGGAAGTTTTCAGCCATTATTTCTTTATTTTTTTTCTGCTCCCATCCCCCTCCCTTTGGCAGTTCCAATTACACTTATGTTGTATTGCTTCACATTGTTCTATAGATTTCTGAGCACTTGTTCATTTTTCTTCAATCTTTTAAACTCTCTGTTCTTTGGACAGGGTAATTTCTATTGATCTGACTTCAAGTTCATTGATTATTTCTTCTGTCTTTCCCAATCTGTTTTTGAGTCCATCTAGTGAAATTTTTATTTCAGTTGCTCAACTTTAAAGCTCTAGAGTTTCTTCTTTAAAAATTATGTCCCAGTCCTCAATTAAAATTATCTATCTCTTCCTAGAGATTTTAATTTAAAAACAGATTTTAATTTCTTGAACATATATATAATAGCTGATTTGAATCTCTGTCTGCTAAATCTAACAGATAGATCCATTTAAAGTCAGTTTCTAATGGCTGCCTCCCTCAGCACCTCCCCAACAAGTATAGGTCATACTTTTCTGTCTAGTAATTTTTTATTGAAAACCCGATAGTGTAGCTAATACATTGCAGTTACTTGTTTTGTTCTTTTGAGCATTAATTTCTTTCTTTCTTTTTTTTTTTTAGTTCAAGTAGACAATTATCTTGCTTGGTCTTGAAATTTGAAATCTATTCCACATACAGTATGTATCAGCTGATACATGTAATTAGTTCTTATTGCTTTCCACTATTGCTTTTATAACTAGGCCCTGTGCCTTCATAATTTGAAGATCAGTCAAGATTTGGGCAGAGGTAGGGTTCATCCTCTTTGTGGTTCCCTTGCTTCTAGAGATTCCCTTGTAATTTTCAGCTGCCTTTCCAGCTTTGGGCTTTGTCCTCTGATACTTCAAACAATAAGGAAGGCTTCAGTATGCTGATGCTTCAGTTGCACACATTTCTCGCATGCATTCAATTATAAAAAGTAGTAAACTCAAATATCTAGTTTCATACATCTCTATCTTTCAAAAGTAGATTTCTCTTAGGTCTCTGCCTGCTTCTTCACTGGGTTCTCTGGGGTCCCTCCCCCACTTCCATATGCATAATTTAGTTGTCAGGCATGAATTTGGTAAGAATTTACACTCAGAATTTGGCTCTTTTTCTGTGTGTTACTCTTGCTGCCACTATTTTTTCTTTAAATCTCCTACTGCTTTTCTAGCCCTAAACTTTGACCTGGGTACCTTAAGCCCATACAGAGGTGTTTTCTGAAGCCACAGCTGTGGGGGTTGGGAGAACTGACAGGCCAGAAATCCAAAAATTAACAATTCTTATTTCTTTTACTTTTTTCTCTTTTGGGTGCTTTCTGGTGTTTTAAAAATGTATCCAAGTTTTAAAATTGTTACTTATGGAAGGATTCTTGTAACACTTAAAAAAAATCTACCATTATTAGAAATCCATAATCAACTTTTTACAGATTGGGAATAAAGCTTAGAAAGTTACATAGCTAATAAGCCCCAGAGTGAGAATTTTCAATAATTATATCTATCTAAAAATAAAGCTTGACTTTTCCTTGACATCCTTCTGAAATTTCTCTATTACATATTTAAAAGAACCGGAGTCTATTATGCCAATAAATATTTTAGTAAATAACATAAAAGTAGTATTAAATGCTTGTTTTCCAACTGCAAATAACCAGTTAACTGAAACCTGATCTTGTATTAATCTGCATTTCAGTAACGATGTGATTAAGTGGGATTATGATGTTTTATTGAATTAGGCTACAGAGGATGGAAATAAAAAATTATTTATAAAGTTGTTTTCAATAATATAGTTTAGCTTCCTACTTTCATATTTTATATTTAAGGGTAATAAAATAATTAATTCATCTTCTGACAACCCTCTTTAACACCTAATTCAAAATAAATCAACAAAATAGAAAGAAAACTAAGCAACAGGTATCCATTTGTCTTAGAAATAGAAAATACCTTCTTTTTCATCTGTCCCTGCAGATCTTCAGTCGCGTTAGTTAACTCTTCCACTTTTGCTACAGCAACTCTCAGCTCTAATTTGGCTTGCCTAAAAAATAAAGTAAATTAATAAACACTGTTTTCATAGACCACTAAGAATAAAAAATTAGAATAGAAATCTAAATTTGGTAAAATCAGTTCTAATTCTTGTGTATCGAAAATGCATCCATGGAATAAATTTTGGAAGATTCCTTTATTACTAATGAAAGCATGTAGAAGACACTAAAGAAGAAAAAATATAGTTGAATGGTGAAGGGTATGAAGTAGAGGTCATGAATGCTTTATTTGGGTAAATTATATTATATACCAAAGTAATTCAATAAATTTCTTGAAAAATCACTTGATCATCTTGATACATTACCTAACAAGAGCTCCAGTGCACTAAGAAGGATATACTTAGGTCTATAATATCCTTATAGAGATGGAGATTGGACTTTCTATGAAAATGAACTTAAACTTCAATACCTTGATCATTCCATAGACACCAGAAGTTTGTATTATGTAAACACTTAACATAAATTAAAATATTTGTCCCACCATAATACAATGTTTATTTTCTTCAGAGACTGTATTGGCAACGAATGAAAAAGACAAGTTTTTGTGAACATTCTAACAGAATCAAGTAAGTTTCAGTATCTTCTTGACTCCTCATAGGAAATGATTTTAGAACAATAAGATAAGACTTTTTTAGACAGAAAAAATGATTTTTAATATCATCGTAATTTACCATTGAGTATAAAACACTTTGATTATCTAAAGAACATATTTTTTAAGAAGAAAAATATTTTAGTGTAGGAACTGTTCCCTATTTCTTAATTACATTTTATGTATATATCTAAATGTAAATCATATTTGTGCTATAAAACTTACAGAAATTATTTGATGCAAAATTCACAAGTAAATGTTAATTCATTTCCTTTTGACTCTGTCTTTAAAACTGCATTACTTATATAGTGATAAATTTCCTACAATAGAAAATACAAATCTAATAATAGCTGAAAACATCTCAGGTAGTTATTAGGGCCAGGGACTGTTGTAAATGCTTTGCAGTCATCTCACTTGACACTCATAATAACCGTGAATTAAGACTACTACTATATCAAACTGAAGTAGAGGAGAGCAAGGTTGATAGAGGTTTACCAATATGCCCTAGGATTCACAATAAGTAATAAAACTACTATTTAAAGAGTCCCCTATGACAGACTGTCTACCCTCAAATGGTCCCAATAATATTTTATATGATGAGGCATTTAAGAAAATGTTTTGCTTTAAATTAACCAAGATTATAAAAAAAATCAAACAGGCCGGGCGCGGTGGCTCATGCCTGTAATCCCAACACTTTGGGAGGCTGAGGTGGGAGGATCACGAGGTCAAGAGATTGAGACCATCCTGGCCAACATGGTGAAGCCCTGTCTCTACTAAAAATACAAAAATTAGCTGGGTGGGCTGGCGTGCATGCCTGTAGTCCCAGCTACTTGGGAGGCTGAAGCAGGAGAATAGCTTGAACCCGGGAGGTGCAGGTTGCAGTGAGCCAAGATCGCGCCACTGCACTCCAGCCTGGTGACAGAGCAAGACTCCGTCTCAAAGAAAAAACAAACAAACAAACAAACAAAAATATATTTTCTTCATTTGCAAAATGATTTGCCAAAGGAGAAAACAAAAACCACCTTATTTGTGGAAAATCTACGTCAGGCTGAGAGATAATTTTAGGAGTATATCTACAATCTAAATCAACAAATGATTCTACCAGTTATAAAATCCTATATACTTTTAAAGGAAAAACTTAAGGAATAATATATTTAAGTAGTAAGGATAAAACTGAGAAAACTCTGAATAAGCATAGCAACCACGCTGATTTGGTTTTCTTACCTTCAGAAAGGATAAAATATTGCTTGTTCTACTTGTTTCATGGGATTGCTGAACAAGTAAAAATAGATAATGTATATTAGAGTATCCTGTAAACTGTAAGCAAGATAAGGTCATAGTATGATCAAGGAAAAAAAAAAAAGAAAGAAAAAAAAAACCTGTTGGAGACACAGGAAGCAAGGTACAATGTGGAGAACACTAGAGGCAGGGACCCAGTTTCGTCACTAACTAGTAATATGCCTTACCGCAATTCACTTGACCATGCTGCACGTCTCAAAGACTTCATGTCCAACAACAGAGGTGGATTAGGCAATTTGCCAAGACCAAAATTCTATAATTAGATTCTTCCCTTATTTTAATCTAATTGGCCTGAGTCTATTTCTAAACTTTCAATTGTGTATTCCTTTTTCATTCTATGGCCCAAACTTTAGCTTCATTATCACTCATAATACTATTCCAATAGATTCCAAACTCATCTCTTCACTGATGGTCTCCTCTTTCGTTCATTCTTTATAATATATCTTATCTGTTAAAAAAGTTATCTAGTACTAAAAACTCCTATTTAACAATGATTCCTGGATTCCACACTTTTTGGCATAAAGTCTACACGCCCCTACATGGCATATAAGGCCAGTCAACATCTAACATCAAAGAGTCTCATCTCTTGCCAATTACCCCCATGTAATTTATATTCCAAGTATAATAAAACACTCATTCAGTGTTTCTTAAACACATCTTTGTTTCTTTTTTCATATGTTTGGTTGGACTAGTCTTCTCCTTCATTTTCTAACCAATTCCTTAAGTTTGACCTAGTTCAAAAGTCTCCCCATCTTCAAGTCTTCACTAATTTCCCCTTGGCGAAAACCCTATATCTCAATACTTATATAATACTTTATACGCTATTGATTGACTACACTGTATTATAATCAATACTATAGAGATTCTTCTTTATGGAACTGTGAGTTCATAAAAAATATACAATGTAAGATAATTAAAAGCAAGGATCACATCTTATTAATTTTTAAACCCTCAGGAGATAGCACAGTACCTAGGGCACAGGAGACAAGTCAATCTATCATAAATGAATGAGAGGGCAAAAAGAAAAGGTGAGAAGAGGGAGGGGGAAAGGGAGAGGAATGGGAGGGAGAAGGAGAGGGAGAGGGAGGGAGAGAGGGAGAGAGAAAGAGAGGGAGAGAAAGAGAAAGAGAATGTTACAAGTACAACTATATATTGATATTTTACCTAGATCTTGCACGCCCAATTTAATATTCATGTGTGAAAAATTCTAGAAAAATAATTTATGAACAATTATTCCAAATATATATTATCTCATATTCCTTTGAGATGAATCTCCTGCTACTTAGGTAAAAAGAAAAAAAAATAGGCACTGGACTTAGACCTAATTTGGAAGTCATTATAAAAAAAATTCTGAAAACATTCATATTATATTATATTCACTAAAACACAAATACTATTTTTTTGGGGGCAAATAAGTAGTAGTTTTCCACATTGTTCCATAGAACAGTTAGAAAGTAAGTAAATAGTTCTTTTTATCTACTTTTGGCATGACAGGTTGAAAAAATTCTAAAATAAAAGGCAGAAAGCCTGTCTTCTAGAACTGACTACAAACACAAAAGGTATGTGAACTGAGCCAATCACTTAACTTCTCTGAGTCTTAGTATCTATAAAATGGAGATAAAAACAGTTTTCCCATATAGTTCACAGAATTATAAAGTTCAAATAAGTTAATGCATATTAAAACATTTTATAAATTTTACTGTAGTTTATACAATGCAGCTACCATCGTCATTTTGTCTTTTTATTAGATTAAATAGTCAGGAACTGTGTAGTAAAGTATTAATTTACAGTTGGACTGGGAAAGCTCTGGGGATGCCTGAATGTCTAGCCTTGACTCTTAGCCAGTATATGAACAGCGGGATTTATGATGTGCTGTTTAAAGTATGAATCTCTTCCTGCAGCCTGCAAGTTGATTTGTTTACTGATGATTTTCACTGGGCATAACTAGATAGCCAGGCTAGGCTATGTGATCAGTGTGGCAAAAAAAAAAAAAAAAAATGACCCTGATGGGAACTCCTGCCTGGAGCTCTCCTGAAGCCAAGATTCATTGCACAGATTCTTGGTGGCTCAAGGTGGAGACAAAGCATGTCTGTGTATAAATAAAGGCCCTAGGGTGCCTATGATTGAATGTGTCCTGGATGCTATATGCTTGCCTATGTTCTTTTTCTGGCTGCACAATATCCTTTGGCCTTTAAATAAAAGCCTTCTGTAAGTATGCCCTGTGCGGTCTTGTGAGTTCTTTTAAATATTCACGCTTTTAAAATTTTTGAAGGAACTAAAAAAATAATTCTAATATTATTTTATGAAGAAACTCAATAATTACGTTTATACTATTTACATGCAAATGTTTTAGATACATGTCTCCCTGTGTATGTAATTTTATAAAAGTTAAAAACAGTTTAACAAAAAAATTTTGATTTAAAAAAAACACAACTAGTTAACTATTAACAATCTTGATGTCATAACTACCCAAGGATTTTACTTTTGCTTCAAATAAATATTCTAAAAAGCACATTACTTTATTTTCAGGTATGTTTGTTAATCCACTTTATATTCCTGGGATTTTTCATTAATGTATTTTTTCATTGCTTATGATATTAAACACATTTGAATGACAACTTATTTATTATTATCATTTTTTGAGACAGAGTGTGGCTCTGTCGCCCAGGCTGGAGTGCAGCGGCACGATCTCGGTTCACTGCAAGCTCCGCCTCCAGGATTCATGCCATTCTCCTGCCTCAGCCTCCTGAGTAGCTGGGACTACAGGCGCCCACCACCACACCCGGCTAAGTTTTTGTATTCTTCAGTAGAGGCAGGGTTTCACCATGTTAGCCAGGATGGTCTCGATCTGCTGACCTTGTGATCCACCTGCCTCAGCCTCCCAGAGTGCTGGGATTACAGGCGTGAGCCACCGCACCTGGCCGACAACTTTTAAAAAAATAAAACTTCGTTAAGCAAAATGTAATCAAGTATAGCATAAAGGATAGCATATAATACTAGATTTATATTATACCATCAATTTGGACAGAAATTAAAATGCTTTAATTATCAATACACTTTTTTGAGACTTAACATCAAGTACAATGAGTCTATTTTAAGACAAAT